GCATCATGCATAATGCTTAACATTATTTAATATTGCATAATGTTTATTTTTGCTTGTTTTTTTTTGTTAATTTTTATACAATTAATATACAAATTAATATATATCTTATCATATATATTGCATTAATCTAATTTATTTTATTTTACATACATATATATTCCGAGGGTAGGAAACATTCATAAGACAATAAAGTTACAACTAACATTGAATAAATAATAATGAAGTTTATATATAATTAAAAGAGGAAAGAACAATTTAAAAAATAACTAATTTAAAATGCAAATCTAAAAGTATATAAAGTCTTCTATTCTACAATTGCGTAAATGTAGTTGTAAGTGTGTAGTTGTAAAAATCTCCAATCACAGCTGAATATGAGAAGAATATTCGACTGTAATTGATCAATTCTTACAATTACAATTACAACTATTTACTATGTTTACGCAATTGTAGAATAAATTTAAGACAATAAAAACTAATTTAAATGTCACATAATCATGTTTCTATACGTTATATGTATATTATATATATTATTTTATGTATTTAATTCTAAGTGTATACAAAAAGTATATTTTATTTCTTTGTGATTATTATTGTGATCATTTTTATATCTGTTTATTTATTTATTCTGCTTTTTATCTGCATGATTTTGTTTTGCATAATAATGTCATAAATATCCCTGTAATATATATCTTCTTCACACACAACTGGCAATCTCTACTAAACTTCCTAAGTCTACGATAACTACGATAGGTAATTAAAAATATACACTTGTGTAACGAGATTATTGCAAAGCTCGAATGGTATTGCAATTATTATTCGATATTTCTCTTACCACAGTGATCCCTCAGCAAATATTAGCATACACGTTTAGAAAATTGTATTTTAACAATTGAAAATTTTAATTTATTTTTTTGTGAAGATTTTATTTTAACAATAACAAATTTTAATTTATTTTATTATGAGATTCAATCGCGCTTCTATCTACTCAATCATGAGTTGCGCATTGTACAATTAATAGTTGATCTTTAACTTTTCTATCCAGAGTTGCAAGTTTTCTTTTTTTAAATGATAGAGACATCTTTAACCGCGCGAATATTTTTAATCTGTAGAAACAACTCTATACGTTCACACATCTTGTCAACGGCCTCTTTGCAAAAAGCATTGGGAAATCCAAGTCCAGGAACATATAAGAAAAAAGATTCGAAACGTAGAAGCTCGCGAAAGAGTGACTCTGCTACAGTAACAAAAACCGATCAACCGACCAGCCAGTGGTATACTACCACCGAAATATCTAGTTCAATTCAACAAGCAACATCGTCTGTTACATCGTTAATATCTAATTTACAATCAACACATATATTTGAGCTTCGACAAGAGGTAAAGACTTTGAACATTATCTTATTGCTTATGACTTTGAATATAATTAATAACTATAGATTTCTTTGCATACAGCTCACACCTAAACGTCCCCTGAGATCGGAAGCGGAGAAAGAAAGAAGAATGAGTAATCGTTGGTCTGGTCAATCTCACTACCTAAGAAACATCAATAATGGACTAGAATCAAGTGGTTTAGGGAAAGGAAATAGAGATAGCGTCGGTACAACTGATAGTACAGCATCTGAGGATGATCCACCACCGCCTTTACCAATTAAAATGCGTGAAGCCGATTATTGTAACCTTCCAGAGGAACTGTCCACTAATCGGTCTGCTTTGAATAATCTGAAGTCTTCGGGACAGTGGAAAAACAAGTTGCCGACGCCTACCGACGATGATGTAGACAGTCACTCTAAACCGCCAACACCTCCACCGAAACCAAAAAGACCGGTTCACAATTTGAACAAAAATACATTTGCCTCTAACGATGTCGAAAACTCACTTGTTGAGGATTCATCGACCGCATAATACAATATAATATGATATATAGACGTCATGATGTTCACCTTGCCAAGCGTTGTGAACAAAATAAGCAATTATCTACGTTTATAAAAGCATTCTTCATCTAATTTTTGTATCGTTGATATTTAGAAGAGTTACCATTCATTAGAGTTAGCATTATAATATATTTCTTTGTGCCTTTCTTTCGCGATTTAGGATAAGCTAATAAGTATACGCTACTATGACACTAAATCCTTTACAAATGTATTCTGTACAACAGAAAGTATTGCTTTATATATAATGAACGAGCAATGTTATTGACAAAGGAATCCAAAGTTAATATGGATTTAAAAGACACAATATTTTATAATTTATAATGCGCACATGTGACAAGGACTATAACGACATTATCTGACACTATAGCAATGCATTTATTATATTTCTATTCTTATATGTAGCGAAGCTTTGTACTATATTTAGAGATTCAAGATTTTTATATTATCGAGATAAAACGACGTGAAAAAAGTAGGGAATTTGTGCTATACAAGGATGAAAATTGCGAAATTCGCTTTTAACAACCGTTCATTCTAAATAAGCGCATTATTGAACGTTTTAATATTGCTTTATTACAATTTACATGCTTGCTGTAATATCCATTACAATGCGTAGCATACTGTAGTAACGTCCATTTTTTCGATTAAAGACTTCATTTCAATATGATTTTGGATATATATATTCATGGAAAATATATATTTTTTATAAATTTTGATATAAAAGGTATACATATATAGCTTTAATTATAATAAAAAACTTTGGAGACCTTTTACATTTTATACTAACCATTTCTGAACGGATTTGCTATTACTAATACAATATGCATTAAATATTAGGTCATTTAAAAAATATCCACGGTTTTTTGTTCAATTTTTGAATGAAAAAACCGCGGATACTTTTTAAATGACCCAATATAATGAAAACAGTTAATGTTTTGCAATTTTCTGTTTGTTATAATATAATTTATTTTACAAATTCGATTTTTATAACATAATTATGAGAGTAGTAATAATTTAATCGCGACATTATTTAAATATTACCAAGAGCCATTGTGATCTAGTGGTAAAACAATTTATATGTGTTAATGTTTATATAAGTCATTCATACTTGTTAACAGTGACTATAGTCTTATATGTTAACTTAGTTTTAAAAATACAGGAAGATATTGATTGTTTATAAACATATTTAACAAGTATGCAGTAAATGATAATGCATATGCTTTTTGCATATCTATTTCATCCAAATGAATAATGTAATGATTACATGGTCGTAATACAGTCATATGATACCAAGTGTGCTTCCTAATTGAGCACAAAATCAGAGTAAAAGTTTAAGTGAATTACAAGAAGTTATAATTTTTTATTTTATAGTCATAAAAACTTTATAATCAATCAAGGTACCAATTTGCGTTGCTTTTTAGTTACAGCATATTCTAAAAATTTACTATCAGAAACAGTCGTTTATACTGTTAATACAAATTATTTATTACATTTTTCATCATTATTACTTGAGTCTCATGCCAAAGAGATTAGTGCTTTATTTATTAAAAGCGTTAGAGAGCATTATATGTATTGCTAATAAAAAGTAGTATCGTGTAATATATTTGATATTTATCTAATGCACGAAACTAAAGAATAAGCTAAAAAATAAAGAGCTTAATAGTTTATTCATTATTATAATAATTAATGTAACAAAGATCTGTATTCAAAGTTATTGTTCTTATGTTAGTTCAACTTGTTTACTTATTTACGGAATTTATTTCGAAAAAGAAAACAAATATATATAACTATGTGTTTGAACAGAGCATTTATGAATACAGTTCTTAGCTTTGACACCAACTTTGTAATCGAAAAAATTGACAATATATTGATTCTAAAAATTAAGAAATTTAATATAGTGCTTTGCTTTCCTAATTATATAACTGATTACTATTAAGAAACTAATGTACCATCTTTGTATCTAAACTGAAACAATTTTTCTTTTTTTCTAGAAATTAAAAGCCTATAATGGTCAAAGCTGGATCTTTTAATGCTTAGAATAATTCAATCTTAACTTATTATATATACTATATATGTACTTGCATATATACAATATTTGTAGTTTTTTTTAACTGCGTGCCGAATTGTTTTTCCGGACTATAAACGCAATTAAACTACTTTAGTAATCGCGGATTAAATTGACAAGCAATTTTAATAATTTAGTGCTCAATCAGGCATCATATTATAAACATATTAATATGTGGAAAAACTTTCTTTTTTTATTCTTACGTATAATATACTGCACAACACTTTCATACAAATCAATTTTTATTTAATATGCTTTAATTTATTATCTACATGTACATATATCGATAGACATTAATTATATTATAAACAAGTGCCATTCAAATTATTAAATTCATACACACTATATAATACATTTCTGCTATATAAACAAAGTGATAAATATATACAATAAATATATGCTATGTAACAAATCAATTTTATTTATAAAAGACGAAATAATTTGATATAATCCCAAGAATCCCTACTTTTTAATAAGCAATATAGTTATGCGCACGCGCGCACACACACACACCTTATATATTATTGACTAATTATTTGCTATAAAAATATATATTTTATATCGTTTATTATGAAAGAAATTTTACAGTGACATTTAGAAATTTAATTTTACGAAATAGATTCATGCATGTTTTATAATAAGTATATTATGATGTTAAGATAATGATAAAGAATTTGAAAAATAAATCGACTTACAATTTGTTTTCTTCACGCAATAATTGTATCATCTAATAAATATCTAATTAATTCTATTTAATTAACACTATTTTCAGTTTTTCTTAAAATAGGTTTAAAATAAATTTATTAAGTTTGTATATCGCCAAAAATAGTTAATTAAATTCTTCTCTTTTATAAAATATTTATCAAATGTAAATACTTAATTTTATAATTATAATAGGAATTAGGCCAAATTATAAAATAACAAATAGTATGAATTTATATAATAGATGTCATCTTCATTTAAGTTAATAATAATAAATAACATCTATTAATGACTTACTACTAGTTATTATAATAATGCCATCAATAATAAAATAGCACTTATTTTAAATCTACTATTTAACTTTGGTTGGAAGTATGAGAAAATACGTCTCTTCATACTTGTATATTTTTCTCTTTCATTCTTAATGTAACCTTTTCAGTTGGGTTCACAGATATATGAATATGCACACGCGTATATTTTTATTTATATATTAAATTCATAACTGTATATTATACTGACATCGCAATGTAGAACGCTAAAAATCTTCGCATTCTATGTATGTAAAATATAAAAGTAGAAAATATATATATCGAGATGCTATTCAGTTTTAATAGAAAAATAACATAATGCAGTCGTGCACAGTATTCTTAAGGACAGGTAATCTAGAGTGCTAAATTGTATCATTTCGCTAAGTCTTCTTCAGAAAAATGAATAAATATTTTGTTTCTCTTTTAACTACAGCAAAAACTAAAACAATTTCCTCTAGTAGATAAGAGAAAATTAACGTATCTAAAGTGTTTGACTGTTCAATAGTTTCATAGTATGAATAATCGAAAAATTTTTTGATGTTACATACATACACTCACATGCAAAAAAATATCACACGCTATAACTACACATTTCACATATAAATAATAAGTTCGTAATGCCTTTGCAATCAACGAATCATCTTACTACTAAAAATTATAGCAAATATTACATTTGCACTTCAAATGAAAATTTGAATCTCTCAAGGCATAAGCCACACAGCATACAAATTCGTTTAAAAATTACATTAAAAAGTTACGTTTATGTAATTTTAAATGTACAATATTACATCATCTCGCATAATGTTAGAATGCCAATTATTTATATCTACAAATTTAACAAAAAAGTGCAAATGTCATATTTGCAAACATATCTATAGCTAAAATTTAATAATGTAGACTAAAGGGATACATAAATTTTCCTCATTATGATTATGATGTATATGGAAATAATATGTAACAGAGAAACCAATTGAATTAAATAATTTTGTTCAAATAAACAAATATCATGTAATATGCGCATACGAAACAATGACTAGAAATGATATTATTATTTATTCGACTTTTAATCGTTTACTGAATTCTTCTTGCTGCTTTTCTCTCCATTCCTTTTTCGGCTTCATCCTCTTTAGTTGACCGTCCCTGTAATAAAATAAATATATATCAATTTTATTTCCAATTCCCATTTTTTACAAACTTTAAACCAGTGTCGAACATACCATTGCAGATCAACAAGACCACCTTGCCGCGCTATCACGGATTTCACTCGATTCGCAAAATCAATTGCACTCTCTCCTTCCTTCCTGTGCATTGGAGGGAGATACCACACATCACAGACTATAGCCCAGCTAGACATCATCATATATAAATATTGTAACATCGAATATCGACTGCTATTCCAAAATGCATCTCCAAATCTTGGGTCGTACTATATATTTAAAAAAACATAAGAAAAACATTTAAAAAAATATTACACAAAGGTATACATAAGAGATATGATAATAAATTACTTTTATAGCCACAGGATAAACAATGCTGTCCACTTCAAAACTGCCTTTTTTGAATTGCATAACTGATGTATTGTTGATACACGTACCCTCCGGGAATATGAGTATCGGTGGGTTCGTAGGATCTGATACGTGTTTCTTTAGCCTGTAAAAAAATGTAATGTATTAATAACTCGTATAGAATATAAAACTGATAATCTGCATAGAATACAAAATAGGCAAGACAGAAAAATGTAATTATGTTTAAGTAATTATACCTTATCGCAACTGCTTCTCTATCTTTGACTTCAGAGCGTTCAAACCATATATGTGGAGAAGCACGGGCAAGAGCTCTTTGTAACAATCCTAAGAAACCACCATGCCTCTGACCTATCTATAATAAGAAATGTAAATAAGGCGTCTGATGTATATTTAAAAATTATATAAATTGTTTTCTAAAAGTCGTACACTTTTGTCGAACAGATAATGAAGTCATTACGAATACAATTATTTCATTAATTATAATCGTTAAAAATATAAAATATAAAATATTTCTTAAATAATCAAGTTAAACCATGCTTTTAATATAAATTTCTTTACTTTAATATAGATTTCTTTTGTTTTCATATACTTAATATCATAAATCATAAAATTGTAATAAGTATAGATTTTTCTCATGCAATTTTTGCAAAGAAAAATCAACGTTAGATGCTTCATCAAATCTGTAACAGTTGAAAAAAGAGAACGATTTTTGGAACATTTTAATAAAGCAACGATGAAAAACAACAAAACTGCATATTGGCAGTAGTGAAATACAATTATAGAATACATCGTTCTAAAGATATTCAGAAAAATATTATGGATAAGCAAAGCAAAAGAATTGTGTAAGAAAGCAACTGTAAAAAGATATCCATATCCATAAGCGATACACTGAAAACATACCAATGAATAACAGTTATCACACATAAGTACGAGTACGTCAATAGGGGATGTGTGATTAGCTACACATATGCCTCTGACAGGGCGATTCTCTTGATTGTTGTAGGTAATGACTGAAGATAGAGCACTGGATAAGACAGCAAAGCACATTATGGAAACTTTGTAGTTCAGCCATCGCTTGAAGCTACCCTCGGGAATGTAACCCACTACTGCAGTACACGCTGTCAGCCACATCACCTGTAAACCACAAGCTTTGCACCTGAGAAACGTGGGATTCCCTCTCTATCGTTGCTGAGTAGATACTACCTGTAAAGCAAAGTTACAGGACACGTTACCTGTAACATTTACCAGTAATGCGCAACAACTTCTGTAACACTAGTAACAAACTTCTGATTCTCGATCATATATGAGAAAACTAACCGATTGAAATCGCGTTATTTTGTTATGTAATAGAAATTATGAAGCCATGAAGAAATTATTATACCTTTATATCCAGTGTTATATCATGGAAAAAAAGAACTGTATACTGTCTGTTTTATATAGTTTTTTGATAATACGAATTATATGAATATTACATATGTATATATGTCATAATTATGAATATGATAATTTGTTCTCGTATCATTCCCAAATATGATAAAATTTAAACAAAGCTATTAGCAAATAGAAGATATGTTCGCTGTGACAAAATGATGGTAATGCAATGCTTGAAATCTTTTAGCTTATAAATATATTACTCCGTCCACGATATTACCAAAGAGAAAGTCGTTTGCGTGGATAAAATGCAGACGTCAAGAGTGGACGTATGATTCGACACGCACATTCCTCCATTCTTTGGTTTATATTCTGGATTGTGGATTGTGATCATACTCGAGATAGAACGGGACATTATCCTGAATGCAATAAGGGAGCCCTGGTTGTTCGCCCAACGTTTTATGCGGCCATTCGGCAGAAAGCCGATTAAAAATGTTATGACTACTAAATGCAGTACCTAAGAAGCTTTGATATTAATATAAATACAATTTTAAATTTATTACAAACATCTTAAACTTAATTTTAGTGTACCGCAAATCTGAAATGTATGTTTAAAAATGCAAAAATATTTAAAAAAGCATCTGCATTTTTGCAGAAGATTAATATCTGCTATAAATTTGATTATCTAAAGGAAATTAATTTTATATCGCTAAATAAATAGAATTCTAACAAAAAACATTATCAATTATCATAATTTTGATCATTTATTGTATGTTCAGCATTTATTATAATAACTATAATATATAAAATAAATATCAAACTTACCCCTACAAAGCAGATAAATATCCTTAAAGGTAGCAGGAAACAATAACGCATGACGAATCCGAACATCCATATAAAAGTTAATTTCCAGGAGATAAATTCGTAATGTCTATTTGTTCGAGTTAACAAGTTCCAATTCTACAAAACACATTCATAAATTATTCAAATATGTTAATTATTATTATGCAAATTATACGTAGAGGAAAGCCTCCTATTATGAGATAAGCGCCTAATATGAGATAGCGGCATTTCTGCTAAACTAATAGACACTATTGGAATAGATCTATTGGTTCCACCATGAATTTATTGCTCTTGGATTGAAAATTTTAGTAAAAAAATTCATGAGATCATGCCTGTAATTATCGTAAAAAAAGATTTTAGAATTTGGATGTCTTCAAGTTACATTGAGATAAGCCTTTAAACATTATTTAATAAATAAATATTTAGCAATAAATTCTTCATGTACAGGGTGCGTCACTAAAAATCCGGACAAATTTCAATTTAAATTTTCCGCTATATTGTGCCTCCACCAGTGATTGTTGTTGGCGTCCGAGAAATCCTGATGCTTCTAGTAAACAGTCATATTCTCAAAATGATCGCGATGTTGAAACCAAATGCGGAGTATTTCAAAATCGAAAAGCTGCGATCATCGAAGACCTTCGCGCTGGGCTCAGCAACGGAAATAATTCGGTTCTTTGGATACCCAAAATCAATCGTTTATGACGTTGTGGCAAAATATACGGTTTTAGAACAATCCAATGAAGGTTCCAGTATGCCAGCGAGGAAGAGTACTCGAAAGAACGTACCCCCACAGTCGTTGAAAAGACTCAAGCGCTGATTTCGGATGACCCAAGGTAATCGTTGCGAAAATTAGCATCGATTGTTGATGTAAGCGAACCAGTAATGCGTTGAATTGTCAAGGATGACCTTCGATACAAATCGTACATATTAAAGATACGACAAGATGCTCGCCTCGGCTTCCATTCTGGCTTTCCAACAGTCAAACAGATTTAAATCCCTTGGACTACTACTATGGAGCGTAGTTGAAAGGGTCACAAACAAGTCTCGACATGTGACGTCAAGGACCGCTATTGAGGTAGCATTTGTTGACATGGATAGCGCTATATTACAGCTCGCGTGCGAACGCTTCAGACCGAGAATAGAAACCATCATTCAAGCTAATGGAGGATATATCGAATAATTGTGCTCTATAGGGATCTCCCAAGTAAAAGAATTTTTTGTAATATTTAATATTTTTTTTTCATTAAAAACATTTTGTTTAAAGAAATTGTTCGATTTATCCGGATTTTGATGACGCACCCTGTAGTGGTAGAGTAAGGTACTAATAGAAAAATACGGGATATGTTGAATTGCTTAATTACAGAAGTTAGATTTGATGATCGTAAAATCATAAGGCATGGAAATCATAATATGATACCCAGGGTATTTCTAATATGAAATAACTCTCATGTCATAGTGAAAATCATTGCTAAAGTATAAATATTATTGTACAATAATAAAAAGGATAACAAGGAATGAACATCGAGTGCCTATTTCTGCGTTGTTTGATTTAAACTGCCAGAAGACGAGTTCTGGATATAATGTATCGCATACTCATTTCTGCACACTTTGGCTTTGTTTAAGAAACATTAAATAAATATTTTTAGTTACAATACTGATATACTTTGCGTTTTATTATCAATTTCTCGGGACATCTCATATTAGGAGGACAATTTTTTGACTTTGCGATTTGCTCACTTTTTACATTTCTTTAATTTTCAAAAAAAAATGGAATTTGAATTAAATTTTACATTATCTTAAAGCTTATTAAATTTCCTTCAAAATGAATTTATTTTTTTTAATTTATTATTTTTTTTAATTCTGCTCATAGACTTCTAACATTTACCCAAAATGAACTCGATATCTCATAATAGAGACCTTTTCTTTATAATTATTACAATCGATGAAATATTACCTTAAGTTCTTCAGCTTCAAAGCGTGAAGTCACTTCGTCTTCTATAATTGCTTCAACGCCAGCTCTGATATAATCCAAACAACTTGTCGCAAATCCGATTTGCGTTTCAAAAGAGTTTTTCTGATTAAGGCTATCCTAAAATCAGAAATAATTGAGAAAAATAGAGCTAATTTTTATTTAGTGAAACTCAATAAAAATATAATTTTTCTTTAATTTACCTCTTTGTCATCAATTATTGATAATTTATGGTCGTTTTTGAGGCACGATTCATTAACATGATTTTTGTGATTATGCAATTCTGGTTCGGGGACTAAGATTAAGTCTTTCGATCTGGCTATCACCGAATTACTCACATTCCCGTTTTGCATTTTAGGCGATATTATCGTTGAATCTTTTTCCGTGATCGTTGATGATTCACATTCTTCTTCTAAGTTAAGATCCTCATTTGGATCTAGGGTACCATTTCTCTTCTTCACATTTTCTATGTTTTGTCGACCATACTGTAACAATAAATATGATCGGTTGTCAAATGCGTGTAACACGTCAATTATTTGCATCTTTGTTGTATGTAAGGATTGATTTTAGTCCTTAAAATTCTCTTAAATTCTTTAAGCTGTTGAAAGACATACCATTATTACTAAAATTTTATTGAAAATTTTAATTTAATTGCAGATAAAGAAAGATAATTTATCAAACAGAAAATTATATCTGATAAAACAATTTAGATATACTATTTTAAATAAATAGTAAATCATTAATAAAAAAAATGTTTTGTGAGAAGAATAATTAAAAGCACAACAATAATTATATCTAAAGAAATAAAATTAAACCTAATTGTTTCGATAATAAAATGTTAAATTTTAAAACAGAATTCTAAAATATTAGCATTAATTATATGATAAATATAATAACAATAATTATATAATAAATATAATAACTTAAAAAATCTTATGTCATCCATTTTTCTATTATTCTAAAATAATAGAATTTACTTATGATTCAAGTTAAAGTGTTTTTATGTGTTGTATAAACATGGGAAAAAATCAGTTATAAGGAAAATTAGAAAATTAAGTAATTTGTATACTTTTGGAATTATGATTTGCAACGCTAATTTATTTGATTGCCATTACCACAAAATCCGTTTCAATTTAAGAAGAGAGGAAGGAGGTAAGGAGAATTCATCCTACATAACAAGTTGCGTAATACAAAAATACTTTATTATTGTAGGAGATAGCGAAAATAAATACACGCAATATAATCTATATATATGCATATTAAAAATCGGCATATATCATCAAAGCTCAAAGATAGGATCAAAGATCAGACGCATTCCTTGGCCTATGAGAACATAATCTCCGGAAGGTCAATTTAAACAATTATTCTGTCATTAGAAGAGACTTTGATCTTCACTGATCGATAATGGCAAGATAACATTTAGCAACTTCAATAATGAATCAGGAGCACTCTTGAAAAGTAATCGACCGTGTGAACATCGCGTGTCCAAAATGATTATCAATCACTCTGGCATAAGCATTTTGATATAATGAAAATTTAATCAATTAACGGCTAATAATTTCCTAAGACTAAATAAAATGATTTTCCACAATAATTCATGATAAATATTCGCAATAATTATGATAATTTGATTATAATTTTTATTAATAAAATTTGCGAATATTAAATAAAATATAACGTTTACTCAGTCTCACATCTTATCGTTAAAAAGATTAAAAAATTACATTTTAGTCCAGAAATATAAGTTTATGCATGCAGTTAAAATTAATTCAAACAAAGAAAAATTTATTGGAAAAAAATGAATCTATGTTTCATTACATATTGACTAATTTTGTTGAACTGTTGACGTGCTATACATTATCATGTACATCTGGTACGTGTATTCAAGTGTGCGTTAATTAATTCCACCGACGCAGACATGTCACGTCACTCCTTCTGTTTATTGAACTTTATTCAATACGTTTGCATTAGATAAATTAATGAATGCCATTTGTCTCTGAATTACACTGAGAATTATTGAGAATCGTGCTAGAGCTGAATTGCGCAAATCAGATTTATAGAAATTATTAATGATTGCTAAAACATTATAAGAAAAAAATTTTTGAATATGATTCATTTCTATCAATTTATAAATTTTGTCAATTATGAATTTTGTATATCAGTTTTATTAGAATATAAAATTTCGTGTCGTTAAATCCGAGTAGATATATCAATAAAATATAAGTATTACTTCCGATTTAAAATATGATGATCGATTTTAACTGTATTTTTAGGATTTGACCCTGTCGACAAATACAGTTTTGCACATAAATGTTAATAGACATGTAGGGTTGGCAAAGACTTTTTTTTTATAAGAATAAAACATGTTTCTTTTTAAACATGTTTTTAATACTTTAAACATGTTTTAAAATGTTATAAAAATATTTAAGATATGTTAAAAATATCGATTAAACGCCTTTTAAATTGTTTAAAACATGTTTTTTTTTATCAACCTTGTAGGCATGTCAGTTGTAAACATCGAATACTTTTTTGTGTAAATTATTATGACTCTGCATTACTGATACGATGCAATAACTTGACAGTTATGCACAAGTTTTTCTTTTTAGAATTTTTTAGACACAACAATTCTCTTTCCTCGTTCTCTTTTTCTCACTCACTGAATGTGATGGTAAAAAATGATAGAAAATGACAAAATAATAATAGATAAAATACCATTAACTAATAAAGTCATTTTATTACTATTATATAAGAAAGATTAATAAATTAATTAATTTAAAAAGAAGATCTACAGGAAAGCTTAAAAGGAAATTCTTTAAAGGGGATTCTTTAAAGGGAAATAAAGCAATTCAAACATTTTCTCTTCTTGAAATCTGTTAATATTTCTATATCTGCACATATTTTCATATTTAAAAAATAAAAAATATTTAAAGGACACGCGTGCGAGAGAGAGAGAGAGAGAGAATTAATTTAATAATTTTTAATAAAACACTTATGTATTAAAATTAAGTATTTGAAACATTATATCTCTATCAATTTTACTTACAAATATTCTTCCTCTCATTTTTAATTCATTAATATTTTACAGTTTTTCTTATAAGTTCATGAATGTAATATTGACAAAATTAAATGTATATTGAATAGAACAAAAAAAAAATAAAGCGAGAGGCACTGTTTATCAAAATTGTCTCAATTTTCATTGAACTATCCTATCAATTTTACGCAATAAGATATCATTGAAGTGGTGTGATGTTTCACTTTTGCTATCAAAAAGTCTGACAGTAAATTTTAATTACGTTCAATAGATAGAACATTGCAAATTGCAAACAACACTTGATTAATAATATTTTACTTCGATACTAATTATACGAACAGTTTATCATATCTACGATAAATGATTGATTATGAATTCCATTTCATTAAAGTTAAAGTTAAAGATTACAGATAAGGAAAAAGCAAATCTGCTTCGTGCTTAACATCATAAAACCCTTATTTCTTTTGTAAGCTGATCTTCGTGATAGTACATAGATTTTGTATTGTTATTTTAAAATCTTTTGATAAAATAATTATGTAATACAAATATTTTTGGTTGACATAAATTAACACAGTTGTTCTCATATTAAGACCAACATCACATGTTGATGGCTACATATATGATCTCATCTCGCGTTTCACATATAACAGATCACCGTAGTGCATATACAAGATATGATAATGAATGCTAAACGAGTGTCGCTTCAACGATATACAGTTTGAAAATAAACGGCGTAGTTGGAAATAATTACGTATACTGTATTAAAAAACAAAACTGCGTAGCAGCTTAAATTATTTTATATATTTACGTCAATAAAAAATTATTAATCTAGTCATTAGCATAATAATGCATATTTTATATAAATTTATCATTATATCATTTATATTGTGACAATTCATGGAAAAATTAGCAAATCACAGATTGCGTTTTATGTCCGTTTCAAAATCTGTTTTCACCATACAGATTAAATTTAATCTCGAGTTAACTTATATTCTCTAAATTTTTTGGAATTCTCTAAATTTTTTGAAATCTCACTTCAAAAAGAGTTAAAATATTGTTACTATTGAAAAAGAATAAAAAATTTGCACTCTTGAATAAGAGTGGCAGATTTTCACTCTTTTGGAGTGAGATTCATTCCAAAAAGGAAGTGACATTTCTTTCCTTTGGAGCGAATCTCATTCCAAAAGAGTGAAAATCTGCGACTTTTATTAAACAGTGCAAATTTATTTTCACTCTTTTTCAATAGTGGTGGTATTTTAATTCTTTTAGAGTGAGATTTCACTCCAAGAAATTTAGAGAGAACTTTTCATATTTTTCTAATTCTTTGAATTATTAAAAAAAAAGAGTTGGACTAAAAACTAATCTACATTAGCGGAATCGGACATAAATAAATACTTATCACGTGTTTCTCAATACACGAATCATAGCTTCAGTAACGCGTCTGATGATTGATAACATGTGATGTACTCAGTGGGAGAGCATCCGGATCACGCGGCATTATATATCCGTAGGCTTTCTCGAGAGAGAAAATACATGAAACTTCTCACTAGCTCCTATCCAAAAAGAAAATTTAGACAATTGCAGATACGCATAAAATAGAATTTATATATTAATTAGACTCTCGATCTTTTATGCACGAATCGAAAATATCAACAGAAATTAACAAATATTAATTATAAATAAAAAAAATTTATGAATCAATTTAATTTTTAAATTCCATCTATTAATTCTTACTTTTATTTCAATTTTTATAATTACGTTCAATTAATATAAAAATACATAACAAAATGTAATATATAGCGATATTATTGAAAATATCATTTTTTAGTGTTAAATTTTTGTGAGTTATGTGTAAAATGCTGCATGTATTTTAAATGATTAAAATACATGTATTAATATAGCAATCCTAATTAAATCATAATGCTATTGTGTATTCCGAAAGTAAAATGAGCAAAGTCTTTCAAATTATAAAATAGTTGATTGTTTTCAGAAGAATTTATTGGCTATTTAACATCGATCATTTTCTTAACACTAAATGTGTTTTGCCAATCAACTGTTGAGATAATCGTTCCAATATTGCTTTACGAATCATTATCAAGTATGTATATCGACGTCTTATCTGATCATAACATATCTATTAAGATTCAGTTACAAGGCAAACTTTTAATTAAGGCAATTTTTTTATTTTTTGCTAAAGATGATTCAAAGCGGAATCAAAACGTTCAATCAACTAATTTGAATAAAGATAACGTTTTAACATAAATTAATTTGCGCTCCAATTACCGCGCTTTCCTTATCTCTCGATCGAATTAGTCTCGAAATCAAATTAGTTTTTAATTTTAATCATCGTTTAAGACTATTCAAGACTTTTTTTAGAATTTTACTCATTTTGAAAAAATTCTAATACGAAGATTTATGCCATAAGCAAACAAAATTATTTTGTAAATATGTCTT